CAGCTGTATTGGATATGGTATTGCAGTAACGGTGCTGCTGTAGCTGTCACGGTTTAAGCAGATGAGAAGAAACAGTAAAGAGAAGGAAAATCACTGAATTAATAGAGATACTAGTTTTTAATATCTCTAGAAAGCAACCTTCCCACAACTCTGTATATGTCTCTCTCTTTTTTCTGTAACATAACTTTGCCACATCTCTGTCCCTCATTTCTTTGCTCCTTCTCCCTGCAATATCTCTTTCATTCTACTGGTACCAATTACCTTTTCTTTTAGAGGTCATTTTGGTAGTACATTATTTGCTAAACTCTGACAAATTCTAGTCTAGAATTGTAGCTGCTCCCTCCATTTCAGACCTGAAGAAAAATGTATATACTCAAAAGCTTGTCTAATTTTTTCCCCAGCTGTACTACTTTGGCCTAATAAGAGATTTGTCCTTTATTATAAGCCTTGCTAGCTTGCACTGTGTATGTGGTCTGGCACACGTAATAGTGGAACTATACATATTGCAGTATAAAGTCAAGGGCAGTCCAGGTTATTATTAGTGTTTACCAAGGTTGTTTCAATTTTTTTTTTAATAAGAACGACCCTGTAGTGAATGCTCTTATACTTTATTTACATCTCTTAAATTTCAGAAACTTGTACTTCCAAATTATGTAAGACTAAAGCTGCAGTAGGTAGCTGATTCTGTTAAAATGGTGACTTTTCTGTCTTCAGCATTTAGAAAAATATCTAGCTTTGTTTCTCTTCTGTTCTTGCAAACTCTTAGAAATCACAAATGTCTTTTGTGTTCACCTGTCCCTCTGTGACTCCTTCCCTGCTCCCCTTCCTGTAGATCATTCTATTTTCTTCTCTTTCTCAGGCTACAGGTGAGCTGGAAGTTCCTGGAAGAAAAGGAGAAAGAAAGTGCTATAATTATCAGCACAAATACTTATGCAAGCCGGGTAGCAACTAGCTACCTTTGATTACTAACAGCAGCGTGGCTGCTTTAAAGTGGAGGAGGAAAAACTTTCTAAAACTACCAGTTGGAAGTATAAGCTTTCATTGGCCAGACTAAATGAGCTGACCTGATGCCAAGGATAAAAGGATCTAAGCGTTCCGTGGTCTGTGTGAGCAATTTGTGGCCCTCTTTAACACTTGGACTGAGTGCTGAGAAATACTCCTTTCCACAAGAATTTGCAAAAGAAAACAATGCAATACAAGAATTTTTTTGTGAAATTCACTGTTTTTACTGGTGGTTTTAAAAGACTCCTTTAACCATAAAGTTTATAGTTTTCTGTAAACATCCTCTACCTCTTGGTCTTTTTTCTTTGTGCTGCTGTATGCAGTTTTAGAATCGTAGAATGGTAAGGGTTGGAAGGGGCCTTAAAGATCATCTGGTTCCAACTCCCCTGCCATGAGCAGGGACATCTTCCACTAGACCAGGCTGCTCAGAGCTCCATCCAGCCTGGCCTTGAACACTGCCAGGGAAGGGGCATCCACACCTTCTCTGGGCAACCTGTTCCAGTGTTTCACCACCCTCATGGTGAAGAATGTCTTCCCAATATCTAATCTAAATCTGCCCTCTTTTAGTTTAGAGCCGTTCCCCCTTGTCCTGTCACTACACACCCTTGTGAAAAGCCCCTCTCCATCCTTCCTGTAGGCCCCTTCAGGTACTGAACGGCTGCTATAAGGTCACCCCAGAGCCTTCTCTTCTTCAGGCTGAATGGCCCCAACTCGCTCAGCCAGTTCTCCTAGGAGAGGTGCTCCATCCCTCGGATCATCTTCGTGGCCCTTTTGGTTGGTTGTTTTTGAGCAAATTATAGCTGACAAATAGTTTGTTACAGTGGGCATGAGGAAATGAGGGACTACAAATGCCAATCACCCATGAACACATAAAGATGACAAAACCAGTGACCTAAGTCAGAAAATGTCACCTGTTTGACTCAGATAGGACCACAGTACTCCTGCTGTATGAGGCTCCAACTTAGGAGCTTTTACCTTATTCAGAATAGAATCTTTCAGCAAATATCGATGCCTTTTCTTATGTCTGGGGGGAATTAAAATATCAGAAAAATGAAAGTATTCCCTGAAGGTGAAGAAGATTGACTGTGGCATTGGGTTTTTTCTTTTTTTTTTTTCTTTCCCCCCTCCTCTCCCCCTTGGAGTCTATGAACAGGAAAATAAAAGAAACTGTTTTTGCACATTTGCAACTCGGCTGGTTCTTCCTTTATCTTTCCCTTGGAGAGTTCATAAATAGTTTTAGTCAAAATAGCTAAATCCTTCCCTTTGGCATTTTCTTCGCTGAGAATTAGTAGTTCCAACACACGAACAAAAACAACCTGAGAATGGCAAAAGGTGTTTTGATTGTGTTTTTAAATAGCACAAGCTAACATTAAAAATGTATAGAATGCGAACGCTAGACATAACCTACATTTCTTGCTACACTTTGGTCTTTTTCTTTTAAGGAATTTATGTAGAGTATATGTGGACTGTCCTTTATCCATGTTGCACATCTTGTGTTACTCCTCATATTCTGTTACATGGAAGATAATCTCTTTCCAAAGGATATCTAAAATGAAGATGTAGCTCACAGACTGCAGCTGCCTGCTGCGGTGCCTGCTGTCACTGCTCCTGCCATCAGCATAAATGCTGGCAATCAGAGCAACAGTGAGGGAGACAGAGATGGTGACAAAGGCAATACTGTCAGGAAAAGAAGTAGCAGTAGTGCCACATATCCAATTACCATAATTTACCTGTATAGGGAAAGCTCACCTTGTGAACTGTTGTATTTTAAAACCTGGAAAATAGGGCATTGCTTACCTTTTTAGTTTCTGACCTTAGGGAGGTTTATGTGCATGTTCAGCTTCCTACGCTTCAAGTAGAAACTGACTTCAGAAAGACTGTTCAAAAAGCATGAAGTTAAATATCAACATGTGTGCACAGACTCCCTTCCTAATGCGGAAGAAAATCCTTTCTTAAACACAATTCCAGTCTGATCAGTTATCCTGCATGATGTTTAGTGAAGTGATGACAACTTATTTTTCAAATTTGGGTGGGAGGGAGAAAGAGAAAGGAAGAGAATTAGCAAAAGATTTTTTCTTTCTTTTTTTTGGATACAGATTAAAAAAACTAGGCAATTAATTTCATAAAAAAATTCGGTACTGTGCTAAGAGCTGATGAAGAACCTAAAAATAGAAAACTCGATGGAAGACTGCTGTCAAAAAGTGTCTTAAAGACAATGTCCAAGTAACTAAAAAAAAAAAAAGCTAGTATGACACTTAATTTGAATATTTTGAATATTGCAAGGGTGCTCATTATCTGACTGAAAAAGTTTTAAAGTTCACTCATTTTTATAGCCCATATCCTGAAGAGTCCTTTATTTCAGAGTAACCGTAATGGGAGTTAATTCTTAAACTTTGCTCGATTCAGAATATCCAAGTTCAGTTTCCAGATCTCTTATGAAGATCTTCATTGCTTTCAGCAAGTCTAAACCTCAGTTTTTCATTGTGAAAATGGAACATGGTGTTTATTCCAGTCTTTTGAAATAAGGGAAGAGATTGTTTTTATTATGTGCTTCATGATGCCTAGCACAAAGGATTCCTAATCTCCTTTAATATCTCTTGGCTTTTACAAAATAGAGAATTAACCTCATAACTGCATTTGGAGTTGTCCAGCATTGGTTGAACAGTTCCAGGAGCCAACCTGGAGGAGACTGATCCCCTTACTGCCTAGCTAGCTGTTGTACCTCCCACAAGCCCCATATGAGCCAGCAGCCCACAGGCTGTGAAGCCAACAGGAGCAGTTCTTTTGTTGAGTTTGCCTATTCCTGCTTACACTGCAAATGGGTGAAAATAGTTGGTGTAAGATGCAAGGAGAATGCTCTTCATACTTAAAATAGGCAAGATCTGCTCACTTAGTAAAGATGTAACTGACTATACCATGTAAGAAGCGAGCCGTATTGAGACTGTACGGTGAAAGTATGGGTTACGTTCATAGTTATAGTCAACATATGACTTATTTCCTGCTTACTCAGAGCAGGTTATGTTAATTTAAAATGACTTTTCTCCTTAGACAGAACAGCTCATGGTAATCTATGGTAAAGTTCCCCTATTACTTTAGAAAATTAGAGAAAATAATTCCAGTCATCACTTCAGTGATGAAAACGGGACTCCAGCATGGCCAAGTGGGTAATCATGGAGTAGGTTTTGCATTAATCCCACAGTGGGGCAACTATGTAGGGGAAACAGTGGTGCTTATGAGTACAATTTGTTAGTCATTTCAGGAAAGATCTAAGAGTGTGCTCCAGCTAACTTAATCACCTCCAAAGACATAGAATCAAGTAGCTTCCTGAAAGTCACAATTTATGCACATCACATGGTCACCTCAAAACTTCAAGCACAGATCTTGAAAGAGTAGAGACAGGGAAATGGGGCATAGCAGCATTGCCAGATATTAAAAAGTTATAGTGTGCATACCTCCATACCAGTGTGTTTCCTTTCACATACAAGTATTCTCAAAGATAAAGCATGAATGACAGGTAAAAAAAGGGAATTCCTGAAGCCTATAAAAGATGCATTTTCCAAAAGCTTTTTTGGCCTACAGTAACAATAGCAAATCTTACTAGCTTCTTCTCTACAGCAGGAACAGTAAATCAAAAACTCAGCAAATCAGGTACATATATTACTGGTATCCTGCCTAGTATTAATTAACGTGTAATCCATAATACCTGCAAACCATATAGTGTTTAAAGCTACAGAATCCTGACTGTATCTAGATGCTCAGAAGAGAATTCGTATGTCTGCTTCCCACTTCTTTTTTCCCTGTCTTCCTACCTCCTCCCTTTGAATGCGTTGATGGGAAAATTTACCCATCCAGAAAAATATTTTGATTTAGAACTTTTCCGTATTCCTCATCAAGAAAGAATTCCTGCTTTAGGCAGAACATTTCCAGCAGGTCAAGTGAGGTGATCCATTCCCTTTGCTCAGCACTGGTAAGGCACTTCAGGAGTGCTGAGTACAGTCATGGGGTCTCTGGTACAGGAGAGACACAGACTTATTGTAGCAAGTCCAGCACTGGGCCACAACGATGATGAAGGGACTGGAGCATCTGTCATACAAGAAGAGCCTGTGAGAGCTGGGACTGTACAGCCTGGAGAACAGAAGGCACAGGGAGATCTCATCAATGTGTATAAATCTCTGATGGGGTGAGTAAAGAAAATGGACCATTCATCTCAGTGATGCCAATGAAAGGAACAAGAGACAACAGGCACAAACTGACATACAAGAAATTCTGCGTAAACATAAGAGAATGCTTATTTGCTTGTGAAGGTCATTGAAAATGGGTTGTCCAGAGATATTGTGGAGTCTCCACACTTCGAGATATTCAAAACCCAGCTGGTTACAATCCTGAGCAACTTGCTGTAGCTGACCTCTCCCCTGAGTAGTTTCATAATTAAACATTTTTAATAAAAAGTCAAACATTTTCTACCAGTTAACCAACTGGGCATTTTCTTGAAATGAAAGAGAATGCGGTTCGATTTGTCAGTGTATATTATTATGAACTTGAAACTTAATCTACTAAAAGCTACAGAGTTTCTGAGTGTCTGATTTTTGGCTGTTCAGGAGCGATTTTTCTTCTGTGTGTTTCTTGCTGGAAATCCTGTGCTTGTCAAAAGCCTCACATACGTACTTTTAGCCAACCTAGATTTCCTGGGAAAAAATATTAGAAGAATTGCAACAAGCTTTCCTGTGAATTGCTGTATGGAGAGGTCCTTATCACCATGAGCTGCTGTCTCTTCCCATCTGACCATTTGTTTTTGCCTTTTAATCTGCTGGGTCCTCTTCCTGCTTTTCACTAGGAATGGACCTACAAGCCTGACAAAAGCTATCAAAACCTTCAGTTCATTTCTCCCTGAAAATATTTTTCATAACTTCCTGACACTCACTGAGAAAGACCTACTAACAAACAACCAAATAAATTTACATTTCCGATATTGAAGAATTTCCCTGAGATTCTTCTCCTTATCCTACTCACTGGTATTTCCCAGCTCCTTCTTGATGGCATTTTACATAGCAATATATATACATATTGACATTCATGCCATTTTGTTATTCTAAACAGAGAAATCTCCAAAAAGTAATCTCCTGTTACGTGACAACTTGAAGGTCTCCCCATGGCTTTCAGTAGTATTTTACTTGACCTTTAGTTAAAGATCCAACAGTTAATAGGAATGGTCTTTGTAAGTCCTTTGGGTGATGACTGACAGAGCTTTTATAGTGTGTTTTATGTTTATATTCCTTAACATCTGGCTATAAAGTACAAGCTTGTGAAAGCCTATAATTTACTAGCAAATAACAAGTATTCATGTCTTTTATTCTTGTATCTGCTTTGAATGCCATAAATCAAACCTGGCACAAGATGAAGCAGCAGCTTATTTTAAGGTGTATGTAGAAGGAGAATTAACACTGAAGTCTATAAATTTTCAGTATATTTGCAGGACCATATTTCTTTGTTTTTTTTCTTTTTTTTTCTTGACAAGGGCTGATTCAAATGCAGTAATCCAGGACCGACATGAATGACAAGTACAAACACAGATTTGTGGTTCTAACATTAATGTATAGCATTTATTAGTAGATAATATATGGCAAATTTATAAACTCAATTTCTTCAAAGCCATATCTATTAGAGTGATGTCCTTGTGAAGATTTATTACCATCATGTGCAACAGTCTCAGAGATGTGTTTTTCCTTACTGTCACAGAGCGTGTTGTTCAATCCAGTTTAACCCTGTGAGATACTCTCAGGAACTGCACTCAATGACTGGTAGAGCATAACAGAGTTCTTCAGTGCAGTATGTTCAAACCTGAGTTATTCAAACAGGGCCCGAAACTTTGTGTATGTGAACAAAATCTAGTTTCAAGAAATTCTGCAGAGTCATTGATCCCCATTCAAATTAATGAGTACTCACACTCCAGAAAGCTCAAGTAATTTTTACTAATATTGCTTTACATTAAAGTAGCTAAAGCCTTGAACAATGTTGCCAATGTGACTAATGCTCTTTTTGTGGTGATAGAATTTCAAGAGAGCTTTGCTGCAAGATAAGCAGGTATGTTAATTTTTGTTGCTGGGTTGACTGCAGCTAATATAGCAGTGACAACGTGTGCAGATGGCATTTAACCACACTTTCAGATATTTTTAAATTACCTCACGCTATCATTCGCGGTTCATTGGCAGGTCTCTCACCTGGTGACATGAGTTTGCCAATATACTCTGTCAACACTGCAGAGTGAACTAGGTTTTTTAAACTTTCTTGTTGCCACTCTGGTATCTGTTTCTACATTAGGCCAGTTTCTCTGGTGCAAGTTTCTAATCTATGTACGCAAAGCAAAATTTTGCTAATCCATAACACTTCTTGATAGTACCAGAAAAGATTGCAGATGTACTATCCATCACAAATCTAGCATACAGTCTTAAAAAACATCTACTAGGAACAATTTATCATCAGATATATAGCTATGGATGCTTAGTAAAGTAGAATTTGAAAAATACATCTCATAAAAAAATCAAGAATAATATTAATGTCTAATCAAGAATAATATTAATGTCTTAAACTGTATATCTTCTGTAAACATGTCTTTAGTAATATTACAGAGAACACATACAGAGTAGTCTACTGAGAACACAGCAACATTGCTTGGTGAGAAAGATGGGAAAGAAGCAATGCAAACGCAGAAAAGGAAGAGGAAGAAAGCTACTTCCAGAAAACTGCTTATAAACGTTAGATTTCTCCTTCTAGTTTGTAATGCAATAAATACAACAAAATAAATGTTAATTTATAAAGCTACAGGATTCTTGTGGCTTCCAGTGGTGTCAGTCATTGGAGATGAGCTTTGCACACTAGTAACATAACTTGATTATTCACCAGATTGAGTATTTATATCCATAAAAAGTAACAATATGAAAAATGGTCTGCTGATTTTGATGGTAGATGTATGTCACATATAACTGATGCTAGGTTCAGAATACTGATTTTTTGCCTGTTAGCAGAGGGACACGTGTTGTGAGGAACAGAACTTGTTTGACTCCTTGTTGATTATCACCAGCTAACTCTTCTTACTTATTCGAAGATGAAAAATAAGTACTCCTGCTCCTCTCTGCCAGTTATGCTGTTGCCTGCTTAGCTAAAAGACTATGCAAAGATTTAGCTTGCCTCAAGCAAGTTTCACAGATTCCTGCTTTAATCTTCTCATAGGGACAGATCTGGAAGAGGTGAAGCTCATACTGGGTACCTCAAATGTTGGTTGGAAAACTGAATCTAGAAAAACAGAGGAAAAAGACTTCAGGAATTACAATTGATGTAAATGAATAATAAGCTTTATTCTTGTAAGAGAACATCGTGAATGGTTTCAAACGAGTGCCTTTGAAAGACTTCAGATAGAGATAGATGTGTCTAATCATCTGTATCATTAACACATGAGTTTTTGTTCAAGTAATCAATTGGTGGAAATGTAGGTTATTCCACAGTAAAGGTGCCTGAACTGGGTTAGAACAACGGCATCACAAAATGTAGCTAACATTAAAATGGTCATGACTCACCGTAGATGGGTGTCGGATTTTTGTTCAGTCCTTCCAGCTGGGTGAATGTATGCCACTGTCATTTTAGGCTGCCATACTTACTACTCATCTATTATCACTATAAATTTCCTGTGCACTTGGAGACTTGAAAAAGAACTCTGTATAAATGAGTTTTTAGTTCCTACTTTTTAGATTGTTACTTTCAAGCTGAGTAGATTGAATAATCTTTGCCTTCATAATAGAATCTAAAGAGTTACTAGTAGCATCGTAAATCTCTTCAGATTCACAAACAACTCTAAAAATAGGAGAGATATAACAAGAAAAAAAAACCACAAAATACAACAATAAATGGTTACAACAATAACAACAACACGGTATTTCCAGGCTTACACACCATATGAAGTGATCTGACTAGAGAAATGCATCTCTGTCACTCAGTTACAGAATTCAAGCACTCTGTGTGGTACTCTGAGATTAGAATCTTTCCCTCGATCTTGTCCCTGAATCTCTTTATTCTTTCTGCCAGAAGGACGTCAGGAATGGTGACTTCTTCCTTTAAGGGTCTCACCAAGTCCCTACTTTTCTCTGTCCTAAAACCTTGTCCTTTGTAAACTGTGATTTCTTTCTGTTATTTAAGGTATGACATTCATTATCATACCTGTTTTAGAGCAAAATTCCATCCCAAATTCAACATGCTGTCTATTCAAGTGTGCCTTCTGTCTGTGACCTTCATGCAGCAGCTACTGTCCCATGTAACAATGAGTTCACAGCAGGAGTAGATGAAAAGGGTGTAGAAGATAAGGATGGAAAAAGATTCAAAGACACAAGATTTTGCAACTGGATAAAATGCCCATTAGTATGGTATATAGGAGTTAGTGAAGATCAGAAGACTATTAACAGAAGACAGCATGCTGAGAAAGAATGGGTTTTTGTAGAGGAAAAGCACCTGCACTGGTTGTTGGTGTTTGAAGAGGTGCCCATGGAGCTTACTCTTCAGTGGGAGGTGTACAGTATAAGCTTTCATCAGTTGTCTCACTTCCAAGCATTCTTCTAAGTATATAAGTTCTATGAACTATACCAAGTATATTGAGTTAGCATACTGTTGGTGTGCAATTTTTCAGCCGGCCACTTTTAGTTTAGGAAATAGCCTTTTGCTCAAAGCAGAACTTCTTAAGGAAATGTAACTCTTTCCAGTGTCCTGAATGAAATTTCAGATCATAGCAAAGAAAAATTCTCCCCTACTCACTCCCATCTCTGAAACAGCCACGACAGCAAGCAAGACAAACATTCTGGGAATTGTAGGCTCAGATTCTTCTTGTTTATCCTTATATGCAAAAAAAGACTGAATCAGATTTCTTATATCCTGTCTGAATACTCTAACAACCGATACTGGACATATGTTCAGTCTGAAATGGTCTCAGTTTCATTACAGCGTGGAATGGAAATAATTTTTTTAATAATTATTCTTTCCATAAACTAATAAAAAATCTATGTCCATCCAGCTAAATTTTGTATTTTCAATGAAAGCAAGAGAATAATCTGGTTAACAAAATTTTGTAAGGCTCTTTAGACATGCGTTTCCGAGAACTGCATCATTCGATGCCATTTGGTTTATTAGCAGTGTAAGCAT